GTGTTTCCATCTCATTAGGCCAGAGAGAAACAGGACAGCGGATTTTCAAACATTTCTGTCTTTACGTTGTCTGATATATGAATAACCATCTAACTTGGATCATTTCTTAAAAGGCAGACTGCGGCCTGATCTACATCAGGCTTGCAATTCTCACAATGAAGACTTTTACAAGTTTCATTTTAAAAATATGATTTGTTTCAGAAAAACTACCCAAGCCTTTGATTGCAAAACAAAATCCTCACGTCTGGTAACCCATTTTCTCATTTCCTTTTCCCTCCACCCTGTAGACCAGGCTGGCCTTGAACTCAGAGATCCACCTGCTCCTGCCTCCCCAGTGCTGGGTTTAAAGGTGTGTGCCACTGCACCCAGGCCTCAGTTCTCCAACTTGTGCTTATTTCTCATTATTTGTAAAAAACCTAAGAAGCTACTTGTCATGCAAATGTGCATGTGGTGTGTGTGTGTGTGTGTGTGTGTGTGTGTGTGTGTTAAAGTGAACTTGAGATGTAGAGAAACAAGAGAAACATGAGGATGACATACATACCTGGTAAATGGCCTCGTCACAGGCATTTTGTAAGCCGAGGTTGATCATGGTGTTCTGTAAGGTTCGGCCCATGTAAAACTCCAGAGAGAGGTAATAAACCCTCTGAAATAAAGAGAGGAAAGGCTGTCACTCTTCTGTGAGGTCAACCATGCTTGTCAATACACATAAAGATGCAAATCCATGTAAGGCCACCCAGCGAAAGCCATCGGGTCCTGGGCTGCTTTAACTCACACTCAAGTGAGGCTCCTGCAATCACTTTACGGGATGCCGACAGCGCCTACCACTCCCGACATGAGGAAACCATGCTATACATGATTTTTGGCTTGGTATCTTTTATCCTCAGAAAGAAAAAGAAACAAGAACATCAAGCTAACAGGATTTGATGTTTTTGTTTTGCTTTTCCCTGCTCATGAGCTTCATGAGTAAAACACTTTATAGACAATCAATTTGGGCTGTCTGCCATCATCACCTTTCACTTCAAGGGTCAGGTCGGTTGCTTCTGCCCCTGTGATCTAAGAAACATACAGACTAGCTCCCACACAGGTTGGGGCTAGACAACATTCCTCTTTCACTGACGACTCACCATTGGCATGAAGAATCCCCCAGGAAGACCCACCCAGGAAGACTCCCCCCAATAAAAACCCAGGAAGACTCCCCCAAGAAGACTCCCCAAGACTCCTCCAGGAGACTCCCCAGGAAGTCTACATAGCAGTTCTTCAGGTAAGAGAACCCAAGGCCTAGAAACATTTGTTCTCAATGAGACAGTAAATTTCCCCATGGACTTAGAAACTATTTGCCTTTGGCCTGGGAAAAGCCAGGTAAATATGAGCCGAGTCAAGTGAGAGGCACAAAGTTCAGACCAGCCTGAAGCCGCTTCAAATGAAGCAGGGTTTGCTGATGTAAAGGAATGGACGTTGGAGCGACTGGAGCCCCCCCTTTCAGGACGCTTTGCCCTCTGTATCAGTTACCCTGCTCCCCAAAGGGCACAGAGCAAAGCAGTGAGAGCCTGTTCAAGTCACTTCAAATTCCAAATGCTCCCCATTTCCACAGGATAGGAAGAACACAAAAATAAAAGTATTTGGGCAACCCAACAAATCAATGGTGATGAGGAGGAGGAGGGTATGATAATAATAAATGGGGAAGGTGATAGAGCTCATGTAAGAAATCACTATGACATCAACTCAGAAACTTCACCCTTTCTTACTTTCATTTTATGAAACAGTTGAGTTCTGAACCTTCACAAACAGAGTCAGCGCTGTGCCCGGTCTGGGCATCTAATACGGCTGTCCAAAGCACAGCATTGGTGTGCAGCTTCTCTGAATGTTTATGGGAAAATTTCTTCTGGGTCCTTGTCAGCCTATCAGATAGATGCCTATGCATGTTAGTGAAAGGCATCTCTCCGGGGACACACTTAGGCCCCAAAGGTTCAGTGTACTACTCCTACCCGAGGCTGAGGGTTCTATTCACGAGGCCACGAGGGACAGCAGATCAAGCCACAGATACCATTAGCTCAGCTCTTTCCAGCCTTCATACGTGTATTTTCATTCCCTCTCTGATGGAACAAAGCCTGTTTACCTATTCCAGGATCTATGCAAATCCCGTTTGTAAATACAGCTATACCGCTGTCTTGCAACTGTGAAGTCACACGTCTGGAATTGTTGACCTTCCTTTTAAGGCTAAATCAGCACTGACTTAAGATCCATTCGCATGAACAACATCTTCAGGGTTTTAAGAGAGTTCTAGTTCTTCTAGACAGGTTTGCTCAAAGTATCTTTATAGAGGACAGACTTTTTAAGGACAGTAACTATAGGCGAGTTCCTATTTTTATTTTGGGTTTTTTGTTTATTTGTTTGTTTTGATAGGCTTTACTGTATAACGACTCTCGCTGTCCTGGAACTTACTCTATAGATCAGGCTGGCCTCAAACTCACAGAAATCTGCCTGCCTCTGCTTCCGGGTGCTGGGATTAAATGTGTGTGCTGCCACTGCCGGGCTAGACTTCCTATTTTTCTGATGAGTGATATATTTTGAGATAAAATATACTTTATATTTGAGAATATGTAACACCTTGAAAAAACAGACCTATGTTCGCACAATGTCCCATGGACATGTATTACACATTCCTAATGATAAGCTATTTGAATATCTTCATTTACCTTGTAAATTTCATGCACAAACTACTCCTGATATTGTATCTACATTATATGAAACCAGCTACAAAGGGTTTGAAAAAGACAGAATAAAGATGATATAATAATATCAATGCATTAAAAATAGTTTTGAAGTTGCTCATAGCAGAAACTGGAGGAGCTGGGTGCTTCTGTCTGGGCACCCAGTCGTGGGTTTGAAACATGTGATAGCAAATCTGAGACTTGCAGGAGTGGTACCTAGAGACCGGTGTGGGAGGGCACTTCACGTGGAGGGTGGAGGGTGAGCAGAGCGCCCAAGTGGGAAATGGTGAGATGGCAGAGCCGTGGAGGAAGATGGGCATGGAGGGTAATGTAGCTAAGACGGAAGGGCAGGTTCACCTATGAAGAAGGCAGTGTCCTTCAGGACTACGTCAGGGCTGGAGCCAACAGACTAGGATTTGCTCGCTGTTTTGGAAAGCTCAACTGGACCCATGCCTAACCTGAATCGGGGTTGCAAATGCTGTGTCTTTGGGAGCTGACAGATAAAATAGAGGTGCAATTGAAGTTGCCTAAAACAGCCTGAAACACAGAAGCACACAAGACTGTAAAGCCATGGAATCTACATAAACTACCCAGAGGCAGTTCCCTGGCCAAGTGGTATACCGGCTAGCAGGGGCCAGCCTCCTGTTACTAGCTTACTGTTCCTGGCAAGGGAGGTTTTGTTGAGAAGCCCATTAAAACAGACCTGTAGGGCCTCTCAGCGAGGCAGAAAGTCAGACTGGAAGAGAGTGGCAAGTTTGGAAGGTTCCTGCAGACTTTTGAAAGGGGAATATAAAAGGAAGTCAATGTTTTCCATTAGAGTGACTGTCGTGATGGTGACCAAGGTCAGGGCTGGAGGTCAGGGCTGCAAGGGACGTGACCGAGTTTCTCTGTGCTGAAGTTTGAGGGACCTGAAGAGGCGTTGGTGTGCTTAAAGCTTTGGCATTTACACAGGGGCTGGGGCTAGAGAACTGGACTTGGTGATTTGTGGGCACACCTGAGAGTGAGGCTGAGGCTGGGCACATCTCCTGGTCTTACCCAGGTACTCTGTAAGGACTGGAGACATCCTGCTTCCACAGAGACCATCATGGAGGAAACACTAGCAACTGACATGGACCGAATTTTTAAGACTTTCCAAGCTCTCTCTCTCTCTCTCTCTCTCTCTCTCTCTCTCTCTCTCTCTCTCCCTCTTTTTTACCCTGAGACAGGGTTTCCCTGCAGCTTTGGAGCCTGTCCTGGAACTTGCTCTTGTAGACCAGGCTCTTCTAAGAAGTCACACAACATGTTCGTTGCTGCCCTGCAGTGTATCCCTGTCCCGCTTGCTCTGAGCTCATATAGTAAAGAAGAGTCAGGAGAGAAACTAGCTGCAGAACCGGGAAGATTAGCACTGGAGGAGAAAGGACAAAACCCTCTGTGTTAGGATGCTAAATGCTATAGTGTGTGTGTGTGTGTGTGTGTGTGTGTGTGTGTGTGTGTCTGTCTGTCTGTCTGTCTGTGTGCACGTGCATATGTATTTCTGAAATCTGGCTCCAACCCAGACAAATCCTGTACTAGTCCTAAAAATTTTTAATGCAAGATAAAGCATGTTGCACCAATAAAGAGATACAGTAGATGAATGTAGGCTCCAAGTGTTTTCTACACGTTTAGATTTGGAAGGACACACATTCGCTGCTGTTCTGTCTGGGCAGCCGCCTGGTAGGCAGGCTCCTGTGTGTGTGTGGGGGGGGGGGGATCTTTACATCTCTGTGAAAGCATCCTTACAACCACGGGGAGTTTATTCCTCAGTTTTAGAAATCCCTACAGTTCTCAGGCGCAAA